ATAATAATAGTTATTGATAAAAATTTTTAAGACGAACAAAAATCAATAATAATAATAATAATAATAATAATGTATCAATGACGTAGAGTTCGATATTTTTTAAAAAAATTATTAATAATAATATTATATTATGAAAATGAAGATGAATAATAATAATAATAATAATAATTGATAAAACGTAGAAAAATACTTTTTTATTATTATTATTATTATTATTATAAAAGATATTTTAATAAATTTATTTATATATATATGTTAAACCAAAAGAGAAAAATAGTTTTTTTTTTTAATTTTTAATTTAATTGCTTTTCTTTCTCGAATAAAATAGAAAAAAAATTTATTTTATTACCTAATAACTTAAAATTATTTTTCCTCCATTTTTTTTCTTAGTATGTTTAAATATTTACAAGATGAGAAAAAAAAAGGATGATGAAACAAAAAACAATTTTTTCAAACAAAAATAATAATAATAATAATAATAATTAAAAGGAGAAAAAGAAAACATTTTTTTTTTTTCAAATCATAATCACAATCGAGTGACTTTCTATCAGCACAATAATAATAATAATAATAATAAAAATATGTTGGGAAAAAGAAAAAAATAAAAATAAAACTGTTTTCATCAGTCGATTATTCTAATAATAATAATAATAATTACTCCAGATATTAGCTTATTTAAAGTAGAAAGAGAGAGAGAGAGAGAGAGAGAGAGAGAGAGAGAGAGAAAAAAAAAAGAAGCACTTAGACGAATGAATGCTCATATATATACATAAATATATATATGATAATAATAATAATAACAACGATAAGAAAATATTTACTTTTTTTTCAAATTATTTATTATTATTATTATTATTATTTTTAATATAATTATTATTATTAATATTATTATTATTATTATTATTACTATTTTGCGAGTTCGTTTGACAACCAATCGAGTCCCTCGCAAAGTCCATGACCTTGTGTGGCACATGTTGATTGTATATACCATTTTCTATTTCTTAAATGATTTAAACCGAGTTTTTCTGTGAGTTCGGAGGCTGTCATTGCATTTGGTAAATCTTGTTTATTCGCGAAAACTAATAAAACAGCATCGCGTAATTCATCTTCTAAAAGCATGTTGGCTAATTCTTTTTCAGCTTCAGTAACTCTGTCTCTGTCGTTTGAATCGACGACAAATATCAAACCTTGAGTGTTTTGAAAATAATGTCTCCATAGAGGTCTGATTTTATCTTGACCACCGACATCCCAAACAGTGAAACATATGTTTTTATATTCTACTGTTTCAACATTGAAACCGATTGTTGGTATTGTTGTAACAATTTCTCCTAATTTTAATTTGTATAAAATTGTCGTTTTACCAGCCGCATCCAAACCGACCATTAATATTCTAACTTGTTTTTTACCAAATAACCTTGTTAAAACGCTCGATATTGTTAATCCCATACTGTAAAAAAAACAAAATTTTATCAAGTTAATGTTTAATAACTTATAAAAAAAAAACATAATTTACAATAATTAAACAAAATTGAACAAAAATTTATCGAATCATAATGTGATGCACAATAAGGAAAAAAGAAAACATTATCAAACTTTAAATATTATTAACTAAAAATTTTTTTTGCTTTGACCAAAAATGGACAAAAAAATTAAAATTTTCATTGTTTGATTAGTATAAACTTATATTTTATGAAAAGATATTGTTGAAAAACCAAACAATGATTTTAATACAATCACATAAAAGTATTTTTTTTTTTTTCCCCAATCGTTTAAATCAAACAAATAACCATATTAACAAACTACCATTTACAAAAAAATTCTATTGTTCGATAAATTATTATTATTATTATTATTTAAATGTTAATTATCAAACGTGAGCGTTGTTTAATATATAAATGTTAGTAAAATTATAATAACACTCGAACTAACGTAATAAAATATTATTTATTAAAAAAAAAAAAAAGAGAGAAAAATTAAATTATCAATTCGAATCATTGTTTGTTCTTTTAATAAAATTTTACCACAAAAACAATTATATATATATATATATATATATTAATAGTAATCAACTTACACTACTTACTTATAACTTTATTTCAATTAACTAATCCAGACTTTATTAAATATATTTTCCTTTTTTTTTTTTGTATTAAATATAAGAAATTATTTATTCTTTTTTTTTTTTTCTTTTATTCGGCTAATTGTATATTTCAACGTATTGGATGACGTGACTATTCTTAGTATTTACGATTAATATACAACATGTATACAATACGCATTAAATATGGCGGCGACAAAATCGTCTTGTTGCCTTAAATTTTATTTTTAAATCAATCGAAAACAATTGATTTAAAAAAAAAAAAAAAAAGGAAATTAAAGTTTAATTAAATAATAAATTTGTTTTTTTCTTTTTATTTTTATTAATAAGATTCTTTCTCATTTA